AGCATCACCAGCAAAAATTTCAAGAAAGTCTCCTTGATTTCTTTGCATGACAAAGGGTCCTACTATGAGAAATCTCTTGGTAGAATCTCTCTCCATCTCTATATTAAGTCCTTTTCCCAAATATGGAAAACCAATCCTCAAGTCCTTGGTCATTTCAACTTTTGTGTTCTTAAAAATCCTTGCTGATTATGCCCAGATTCATGTATGTAAAACCACAGAAGATAAGGAAAATAATTTGTGGACAAAATGGTCTAAATGAATTAAAAGGCCAGGACTGAAGGAAATGATAAGATTACACTGTAATCTTCTAGTCTAACAAGCTTGCTTTACTTAGAAAACAGATTCTAAGCCAAATTCAGCATTATGAACATAAATTACTCTAAACTTCTGGAACTAATAAACATCTTTTTCACTAGGGAAGTAATAATTACAAAACTTTCAACTTACCTAACCTCTGAGAAAATTCGTAAAATTTCTTTAATTTGCCTACTAGTGGAACAACTGCACCCCATGCCTTCTCTTGCAACTTCTCATCTGCTGGATGCTGGATTGCCTTCAAAATCCAAAGAATAAAAATAGTTAGATTTTTAAAAAATCAAAAAGGTTCATTTTTACATTAAAATGAAGGTTTTAGCAAATGCAGGAAACCCTGGTATAATCTATGAAATACAGAATATTGAACCAGAGGTGTTGACTTTTTTTTTTTTTTTTTGGAGATGGAGTCTCACTCTGTCACCCCGGCTGGAGTTAAGTGGCATGATCTCACCTCATTGCAACCTCCACCTCCCAAGTTCAAGCAACTCTCCTGCCTCAGCTTCCCAAGTAGCTGGGACTATAGGTGTACACCACCATGCCCAGCTAATTTTTTTTATTTTTAGCAGAGATGCGGTTTACCATGTCGGCCAGGCTGGTCTAGAACTCCTGACCTCAGGTGTTACAACCACCTCAGCCTCCCAAAGTGTTGGGATTACAGGCCTGAGCCACCGTGCCCAGATGAGCATTGAATATTCTATATTGAGTGCTAAGGGTGAGTCTTCTCAACTCCACAGACACTCCATAGAGGAGAGCTAAGAGCGGGTCTTCTTGATTCCATAGATACTTCAATCTATTACAATACATTCTTATTTATCCTTGCAATAGATAGGAACATAATGAAAATCTTAAAAATGGTCCAATACATTTGTTAAATACATTATGCCTTGGTGCCTAGCAGATCCATAAAAAGAAAATATTTCATATTGTTTCCTATATCACAGACAGAGTCTCTTAGTATTTCTTTGACAAAGAATTGTTTTAGTAAAAGAAAAAAAAAAAAGAAACCTCAAAAAGTAAGGCAATAACTGAAGATGCCAACTCTAGGAACAAGCTAAGAAACTTCTAATAATTCAAATTCCAGGGTCCAAACTTGCATTAAGAAAACTACCTACCACTTAAGAACCTAAATCAAGCTGAAACTGTGATTTAAGTAAACTGTCGGTCGGGAGTGGTGGCTCATGCCTGTAATCCTAACACTTTGGGAGGCCAAGGTGGACAGATCACGAGGTCAGAAATTCAAGACCAGCCTGAACAACATGGTGAAACTCAGTCTCTACTAAAAATACAAAAATCAGCTAGGCCTGGTGGTGTGCACCTGTAATCCCAGCTACTCAGGAGGCTGAGGCAGGAGAATCGCTTGAACCTGGGAGGTGGAGGTTGCAGTGAGCCGATATCATGCCATTGCACTCCAGCCTGGGTGACAGAGCGAGACTCCATCTCAGAAAAAAAGAATTGTCACAGCCACTTATTCTCTATAACTAAAATCCTCTTCTACATGCCAACTTTTCTCAGGCTTTCCTGAAGAAAAAAATGAAAACCTAGTTTCAAATCTGAAAGGGGAGAGAAAACATAATCTTAATATATATGACTTCTTCTACACCCAGTCTTTCAAATCATTAAGTAATCTTTTCTGAATGTAGAGGTTTATTTCCAAAAATAGTATTTTCTTAGCTATATCTTTGCCTATATATGCTTTTCTTACTGCTTTACAGAAGTTAACACATTTTTCAACAACCTGATTTACTTTCTCTAACAACTTGAAATAAACTAAGCACACCATCTGAAATTCAGAACTAAAGCATGGCGACATGTCTTGATATTCCCAAGGCACTAGCACTCTGACTCCAGCCACACAAAAACAAAACACAGGAAAGCAAAATAAAATTGAACCCAGACAGATCTAAAGGATGTGTTGAACAAATTAGCTGCAAACTGAATTCACGGGCTATATATTGGTTCAGCAATTTACTTTATAAACCTGGCACTATTTTCAAACTGATGTTTTATTCAATATTTTTAAATGATGCTTAAATCCAATAGAAGCCTTCTTTCTCTGAAGAATAAATGTGTTGCAAGAGGCTTTTCTTAGGGATGAAACAAATCTGGGTTAACCTAAACAAAACTGCCTAAAAGTTCCAATGCCATGACTCTACAGAAATCAATGGCTAATAGTCAGTAGGGCTATTTACACTGGCGTATTGTGAAGTTGAATGTTACATAAATATGAATTATTAACCTTGAGTTTTACAAACTAGTAATCAATGCTAGGGGGGGAAGCCAGTAAGCTTTAGGTAAATACCTTTTTAGTGTGAGGGTAGAAAAAGTCAACTTTAATCAAGCTTTTAAAATACCAATAACACTAATTTGTGACCACTATGAATCCCTTCAGCCACATCAGGGGAAAAGTAGTTGGCTATTTAGAAGTATGCACACCATTCTTAGACCAGTTAGCCTTACAAATAAAAATATCTTGAGCCAACCCGCTCCGTCCACTCTCATAGGCTACAGAGAAAAATCATAATTGACGTCAATATAAGTTCATGGTTTCTAATCGAACCATATGTGTTGTCTGCGGTTATTTTTCCTGTCCCTGTTCAAACTACCCTAAAATCCTTATCATTCCACAAAACTGGAACATCAGGTGTGAGCCAACATCCACATACCACCACAATGCACTGCATTTCTGTTTTTACCATGTTTTTTGGTAGACTAGGCTACTAGCTCCCAGGGTAAATTTGAGTGCGAATGAAATGCAGAAAAGAAATTGCGTAATTCTTCTAAATTCTGGATTTGTTGGCTTTAATTTAAATGCTGGTTTCTCTGGACCAGTTTTTCTCCTATCTTCTCTATGAAATTCAAAAGGCCTGGTTATGAAGTTCTTGAGATCTAAATTTCTTTCTACTAAAAAAAAATCTTAAACCATACATTTTGACTTTATATAGAGGCTCAACTAAAAGAACACATGTCTAAAAAATGTCTAAACTAAAAACAATAACAACAATAAAAAAGCAAATTCATGAATGTTAAAATGTTATTTTCTTCTCTTAAAGAAGTCTATCCAATGTTTCTCGCAAGGATCTAAAAATGCTTTTCTAAATATCAATTCATTCTCACAACATAAAAATGCTCTAGTAAATGTCACCCATTTTCATAACTGGGCAGAGCTAACTATTTCCCTGGCCCTGCCTTGCCTAGATTTAGAAATGAAGACACTGGCTGCTCTCTTATAATAAACATTTTATGGTTCTTCCTCGTACTTCTAAGTTCTTGTCCTCTCACAACGATTTCACTTCTGTTAGATAAGGTTTGGGGTCAATACCCATTATAGCCCAACGTGCAAAAGGGCACTTAGTAAATGTCAATGGTGAGGTTATTACGGAGCAAGTATAACTCATTTTCAAAAATGTTAAAATTGGCTGGGCCCAGTGGCTTATGCCCATAATCCTAGCACTTTGGGAGGTTGAGACAGAAGGATCACTTGAGGCCTGGAGGTCAAGACCAGCCTGGGCAACACAGCAAGACTTCATCTCTATTTTTAAAAAAATTTATCAAAAAATGTTAAAACAGTTATAGATATATTACATTAATGGAAAGTACTTATTTCCCTCTAGGTGATCAATCCTAGACAATAAGCATTGTTTATTTAATAGCTTCTATCGTATATCAAAGTTTATTCTATTTTACAATGTTTAATAAAATATTAAACTAAAATATATTAATATATAATTAAACATCATTAGTATAGTAATAATAGAAAACTCTCAGTTTATGTTAGCTTTGTATCAGACACAGTGCTATGCTGTTTACATGGATTGTCTAATTTTATCTTCATAATAACTCTGAATTCCTTCCACATTTTTGCCTCTACGAATAAGGCAGCCATACAGGTTTTTACATTGACATTTCCTCTTAAATTAGTTGTTTGAAATGTTTTATAGAATAAAAGTACCTGCTTCAGGAGCACAAACAATTTTATAGTTTTTTTTTTTAATATACTGCCAAGCTGACGTCCAAAAAGATTACCATTTTACAATACTTCTTGCACTGACTGAGATTATCGTTTTTACATAAAACAACCAAAACTTCTTCACAGTGATGTGCACTTATTAGAAAAGCTGACCATTTTTTCTATTGTCTGTGCTTTTTCATAGGTAGAATAGTTGGCTGCTCTAACTCTTATAAACACTATTAGCAATAATAAGTCTTAATACTGACCTATGACTGTTATAACACATTACTTCTTTGAATATTTGGTACACATTCAACTTTTATTTCTACCTTTCTTTCTTAATTTGTGTCTCTACTCTTCAGAAATCTTTCCTCTTTGTATCATTAAACCCGCATCAACTTCTCAACAAAAATTTCTTCAACTCTTGTTACATATTTGTTCCCCATCTACTGTAGATTTCAATGAAATTTTTCAGTTTTCTAGCTTACTTATTTTATATTTTAATGCCTATTTCTCTTTTATTACTTCCCTTACTATCATTTAACAATGGTACCTTTATATGTTGTTTCAAGCCTGGTAAGATGAATCACTTACCATTGCTTTTTATTTTTCCCTTATATTTTGGTGTTCTTCAGTGTTACTTTTCTATATAAACATTGTCTTTTCCTTTAAACTTTATTTACTTTCTGACATCACCAATCATGGACTATTTATGAGTGAACTATGCATAGCTACGTCTTTTATTTTCTCAGGAAAACAGCACTACTAAGTGACTATGGCATCCTATACAAAACTTCAATCTTAGCTCATAGCTTTATGAGCCCCTGGTTTCACAGCCCCAGGAAGTCTCTTTTGATATATCCTATATATAAACTTTTCTACCTCTATACTCTATTCTAGAAAATTACAAATGACTCTTAATATGCAACCAAATCTATAAACAGACTTTAAAAGAAACACTATAGCCTTCCCACACACAGACGCAGAATAATTCTCCCAATGGAAAGTACTACAATTAAAAAAAAAAAAATCCAGGCTAGGCACCTGTATCAAAGTAAAACACATAAAATAAAATATAATAAAATAAAAACCATGGAATCATTTAACCGTCTCTTCCCTTACACTAAACATTCAGTCAATCACCATCACATGTTTTGAATCATCATCTTCTGGTGTCTGCACTTGATTCTGCCTTCACTAGTACTCCAAATGTCAGAAGAGAAATTGAGGTGGATATGGAATGTATGTCCCAACGAGTGACTTTGATGACCTCTGCATAATGTGCAAAGCAGAGGATGGGAAGAATCAAGAAACACAGCATGAGCAATGGCTTCAAGAAATGCAGTAATGAGAAGGGGAGAGATGAAGGCCCAGGGGACAGGGAGTTCCTCTGGGTAGTACTGGACACCTGAGGATGTGCTGTGGGGAAGAAGTCAGTAAAAGAAAAAAGAAGATTTAATAAAGAGAAGAAATAATTAAGAGGGATGAAGAACATAGGTAAAGAAGTTAGTCTTGGAAAGAAACAAGGACATAGCTTCTTCTGAAAAATAGAAGAAACAAAAAATGAGATGAATGAAAACCCGAAAAAGCTCAGAATTTTGGGAGAGAAAAGTTGAGGGGGACCACATTACATATTTTCTTTGTGGTGTAAAGTCATGGGGAAGATGTCCTGGCTACAAGGATGATTTCAACTTTCTCCTACAAAGCACGACATAAATACTGCAAATTACAGGGGTAACAGCAGCCCAAAAAGTAAATAAAATTTTCTTAATATATAAAAACTACCTATTAATGGAACACAGCTTTTCCTTTTACGCTCAATGCACTGCAATCACTTCTGAAACAATGCCAAGTGATCATCCTCCAAATATAATACTTGATATAAAATACGGAATTCTTAAGTATAGAAAACAATAGAGATTACAAAGAGGCGAGACAGTAAGTTTCAGTTAACTAGAAAACACATAAATGTGCTTTACCTCTCGTATTTCGTGGCCAGCTCCTCTGTATGACTGCAAGTCCTCCAAGATGCCTTCTGCATCTTTTAATACTACATTCACCTGATTATAAATTTCCTTCTCAGACTCTGTAGGCTGGGCATCTAAATAGCAGGAAAGCACAAGAAAATTTACAGTGACATGATTTTTTTAAAATACATATGTAACTGTAAGCAATTAACAACCCCAATTTCCAAAGATGAGTTAATTCTATTCAATGTTAACTTTGCACTTTTTAAGAAAAGACTAATACTTTTTCCATAGTTCTACATTTAAATGACTAGCTTCAAGTTTATAAATATAACAGAAAACAAGGCAACACCAAATGTTACTGACTTAGTTTAAGTTCCAATTTAGGACCTGGTGTATTAAACCAATCTGAGAATTACAATAAAAAATTTTAATTGTGATAGTCTTAACAATGACTTTTTCTGCAATTATCACTATCACTGTAAATGCATCAAATGATCGATTTTAATGCAAAAGGAAAGCCTACTGAAGCATGTTGCTTATCTACAGTTTAAAACAAACTATTTTTATTTTTCTATGAAGTTCATTTTACTTTTAATGACTAGGTTTTGATATAAAAAAAGTAAAAACTTTAAAAGAATCGTTTTTAAGCGCTCCCCCTTTTCTAGGATCACTCTGAAGTGTCTCAACATATATGATAGTGTAGGTTAAAGAAGGGAGGATATATACATCTAAAAACAAACTCAAGAGAATATCACTGAACTATTCTGCTGATGACTACAAGGTCAAGGTTCCTATGCAGAGGAGTTCAAATTATAAAACTGCTCCACAATTACTCAGTTGCTGAAAACAAGATACTTCAAGCTACACTACAAGACGATTACTGAAATTTTGAAATACTAAAGGAAAATCTGAGTTCCTACACACTTGGGAGTAACAGAAAAATGAAGGAAGAATTACAGTTATAAAAAGCAGAATCAGGGACACAAACACATGGGCATTTTCACCACCTGTGGTGTTAGGTGCAAAACATATGTTAATGGATGACTAAATGTGGATTTCTCTCTGCTTGACTCAAGTTAACAGTTGCTTTTAATAATACTGGTCATTTGTTCTCTAAGGACAAATCTTTCTTATTTTAAGAAAAAAAGGGGACTCTAAGAAGAAATGAAGATTTTTTTTCATAAATCTTTCCAAGCAGGCCACATTCAACACCACAGGTAAGGCCTAAAGCACTTTATAAAATTATAAACATTATGATTATAATGTTTCAGAGAAAAATGACTGGCAGAATTCCTCCATGCTAAAATTTTCTCTTATGAGGGGAAAGGAATCAGTCCAAATTTGCAAGATGAAGTAGGAACATTTTTAATATGATCACACTGGTCTTTAAGTTGAAAAATGTTAACAAAAAAGAAGGTTTTTGATAAATCTTTGTCTACCAATCATATAAAACTAGTTAACTAGACTTTTCTGCTCCTTTTCATCTCACCACAAACACACAATGATGTTTTTATTCCTTTACTTAGAATATTGTAAAGAAACTTTGTTTACACATGAAACTGGGTGTAAAGATCCCTAAAAACTGTTAACTTTATTTTGTGCTTGGAGCAAGTCATAATTCAACCTGCCAAATAGTCAAAAATATACAAAATATTTTTTAAAAATCAACAATTACATTACCAAATTTTAAACTCAACATATGTAAAATAGTACTACAGCAACAATGATAAAGTAACATTCATATGCAAAGTCCACTTAAGAATGTGTTCACATATCTGTTCCTTCATTTTTCAAATTTCTTTTCAGAAATCATTTTTTTAGGAAGAAAATACTGCGACAAAATAATTATACAAGAGGAGCCAATTGAAAAATTAAAAAGACTCTCTATCCAAAGCTACAAAGGTATTATTACTAGGAACAAATACTGATATTGCAACTAAATGGTTAGCTTTCTTATAGATCAAGCTTTGTTATTTAGCAGTAATGACTTACTGCTAAATATTTTACATTTTGCCATATTTTCCAATGTAATAGACATACTTTTCTTTTTAAAAAATGCACACTTCATAACTTTTATACTTACATCAGATGTAGTAGAGAAAAATAATTTTTACATGCAAAAAACGACAGTCTTACAATATTTCATATGGAATTGTGAAACTACAGACATAACATCAATAGTAGACATGTATTTAGTTTGAATTCATGAAGTGGGAATTCATGACAAAGCACAATATTTTAGCTATCTATTATATATATCAAAGGTATTTGTGAAGTTTGAAAATGCTAGACTATGTATTTTGGGTGTGGTGACTAACTGTTAACATAAAAATGTGACACTGAGACTTACATACAAACGAAACATTATCAAGTAGACTTAAGTAGACCTTGTAAGTGGTTAATAACTAGTAAAGGTTTAATAAGTACCAAGAAATTTAAAAATAGAGAAGATTTAAGTTTCCCTTTAGGGTGAGAAAAACACCCAGCACCACAATGATTAAACATTTTTTAGACTGTCACAGGAAAGTCACATTTATAATTTTGAAAGCTGCTGAAGACTGCTGTAGAAATGGAGACAAACAGAAAATAGCAGACAGGTAAGCACTGCTTTACTGAAAGCAAGTCATGCAAAAGGGTGAAATACTAGGAAGGGGGAAAGGCTGGATAAAATAAAGCTTTTTTTATTTTCCCGAAAAACGGTACTATATAATGCAACCAAGACTTGTCACTTTGATTTTCCACAGAAAAAAATGGCTTTACTATTTCAAAAAAATAAAAACAAAAGTATCATTTAGACATTTCACGAAAGGACATTCAAAATTGTAAAATAATTTATCTACTACTGAGAGTAGACATATTCATTAATTATCGAGCTTAGTTTTTAAAGCTGTTCAAGGGAAATTAAGGCATGTTTCAATTGTTCTTATTGAAGATAAATTAAAAAATTGTAATAACTTCACACTAATTACCTTAAGGGGTGGAGGGTAGAAAAAGAGTCACTAAAAGTAACTGCTAAAATTGAAGTCATTATAATACAAAAGGAGGCAAGAACTATGAAATGAAAAAATAAAAATTATAATTGGGGTAAGAGATCTTTCTGCTTTAATTTTACAGTAATTCATTCAATAAATCTGTGTGATCTGCCTCTAAGTTACATCAAGACACAGGCCAGAATGTACAGTATGTACCACTGGTACATATGTAAACTCAGTACCTAGTAGATTTTCTATAATACATTTTGAATGAATGAGAGAGTACAGAGACATAAATAAGTCTCCAGCATGAATTAAGGAAGACTACTATGCATTTTGATCTCTGAATAAATATCACCCTATATCATTTTAGAAAAATAAATATAAGAAAGATGCCACCAGAATAAAGATATTTCAAAGTACAGGGCAAAAGCAATTGAAACTATGCAAGAGATAAATGAAAAAATAAGTGAAAATAGGTCCCAATATTTCTAAATGATAAAGGGAAACAAGTAACACAAAGGACACAAGAAATAGAGGAAATGTATGACTCAATAGAGAGGCACTCCAACAGAATCAGAGAAAATACATGCTATTTCTCCCTTAACAAATGACTAACTCTATTTACTCTCTTATGTTGATCTACCTGGAGATAAGTAAATCAAGTTTAACAAATACATACTGAACTTCTATCATTTAAAAAGCACTATGCTAAGATTGGGAAAGGACACAAAAAATAAATAGAAGTCTCTTTCCTCCCAAGAACTAGAATTTAGTGACCCAGTAGATATAGGAGTTACTCAGGTAAAGATTTGTCATTAGTATAAACTATAAATTAACATTTTGTTATAAAATGGGAAATTCCAAGAACCAGAAGAGGCTATAGAGGCCCCTATTCAGTGCCTTTATTCCATTTTTTTTT